CCCCTGGCTCAGCCCACCCGCCCCTGCCCCGGAGAGCCGCCACGGCCCGCGGACACACGTTTCCCTCGCCACCCGAGCGCTCCGCGCTGCCACCAGCCTCAACCAGCCCCGGGATATCTGGAAAAACCCCTCCATGGCCGAGGTACTCCTCTCCTTTTGCTTGCCCTAGCGGCGGTGCGCCAGGGGTCTCTCCGGGGCAAACAAGCACACACCCCGCCCGCCTCTTTGGCCAGGAGAAAGCCCCCTCGTTGCTGCCAATGATCTCCCCAAAGGCTAAACAGCCCCGGAGCGGGAAGAAACTGCCCTGACCGAAAAGAGACGGGAAAAGCGGCTTGGCTGCGAAGGGCCCGTTCACACGGGCTGGGTCCAGCAGCTGAGCGAATTGTTTGACACAAATAGGCAGGATTGCTCCTGCCCCCTCCCCCCAGCTGTGCTGCCACTACAGCGAGTCTCTGCACCGCCAGCAAAGCGGAACGGATCGAATTCGGCTTCGCGAGGGCACACACGGCCCGGGGGGCACCTCTGAAATACCCGGGCACCCCCTGCGAGACCGGCGGGTGACTGTCACGCTCAAACCCACGCCAAAGGAGCCCGCAGTTTCCCAGCGGGTCAAGCCCGGCAGCCTGCAATGCGCATCGCTCGCTCCGGGCTCCGCTTACGCCAAATACACTTCGTGCTAAATCCGAACGATCTCAAGCGAAGATACCACATCGCCTTGACCCAAATGCCCCCCGAGCCAATGGCATTTCTCCCCCCGCCGCCTGACACCCGCGGAGCTCCCGAATTAGGGGGTCTCCGCCGCCCAGAGAGCCCGCTCCGCACGCGGGCGACCCAACAGCGACGGCTCTGTCTCAGCTCTCGCTTACACAAGCCGATCGCTGTAAATATATTACTTTGAGGGCCAAACTAACGGATCCCGGTGCAAGCCGGAGCGATGGGGAAAACAGCAAGTGAGACGGGGAGCGACCCAGCAGGGGTTAGAGCTCGGAATGGCGTAGCTGTTAACAGGCCTAGAAAGCTCCTTCGTTGGTCCCCCCCTTCCCCCCTATCCTTCCCCTTCCAGCTGCACTTTTACTTTTATTCCCCCCCGCCCCGGCTGATGTAGCTTGCAACCCGCCGTTTGTTGCTTACCTTGCACGGCCTTGTCCTGTTCTGTCCGGTTAGACAGAGAAGGCAGGCTCTGAGCTGCTCCTAGCAATCTCATTTTACAGGGGCTCCTCCTGCCCAGGATGCTGTCTATGCAGTAGGAGGAGAGTAAAGTTGGAGATTTACTTTTACATTCAGGCCTCTCAGAGCAGCTCTCTTCTTGGTACTGATTGCTCATGGCTTTGGCTTTCCCCTTTCGGTAAGGCGCTGCCTCGCTCGCCCGGCCGGCTGGCTGACTGGGTGTGTGGGGGGCTGGGATCTGGGGGGTTTTTTTGGTTTGGGCTGGAGTGTTTTTTAATCCCCCCACCAGCGGCTCCACTCGCCCCTCTTCCTGCTCAGGACACTAGTAACAAGTGTAGTGAGCTGCAATTGCTTTGCTCTGGAGTCCCTCTCCTCCACGTGCTGGGAGCCGCCCTCTGATTGGCTCTCGCCAGAGGCAGGGCCGCTTCAGGCTTCCAGCTACGAGCAAAGCCCGGTTTGGATCACTAGGGGATCTGCACCAGCGTGGACTAGTTCCTCGGCCCCTCCTCGGGAGCCGCGTTCACTGTCACCCCGCCTTGTCTCCTAGAAAACTACTCCAAACCCCTCGCTCCCTGCCCTCCTATTTCTCCATCCAGCTGAAGCTATTTCCACTACTGATCTCCAGGCCTCTAACGTTAGGCGGAGGGAGAGTCTGTCAAGGGCATTGCTTCCCCTCAGTTATAACTCCTGCGTGGGGTGGGATAGGAAAAGGGGTAAAAACAACCAGGAGTCCTGTGGCATCTTAAAGACTAACACATTTATTTGGCTAGAAGCTTTCTGATTACACTTCTTTATTACAGGCATAGTCAGTGCTTTCAGAACAGTTCAGCATATTTCCAGTTGACATTTTCTTCTTTATTGGGGCATGGCATGGCATGGTTTCAAATATCCATGTGTACTTTGTGTAGTGGTTTGGAAATAAATAACGATACTAAGGTACTTTAGCCGGGCTAATACAGATGAGCGCGCACTTGTTGCAGCTCTGTTACGTTTCCATTCCTAGTTACGCTTGAATATTGGTTTAACAGCAAGATAAGGATGCAGGCAGACTGCAACGTGGCTTGGGTGATGGAAAAGGACACATGAAAAGCCAGTGTCAGGAGACACTAACAGAACAAGTTGTTAGACATTCACCTGAACGGCTAAATTATCTTGATTTGCTGGATTTATACTCGATTGATTTAACTCTTGTTGTAACACTCCCATCTCTGTATCCCTGCTTTCTCTTTCTTTTACTTCATGCATCAGCTGAAGTGAGTTGCGATTCATTAAGATTATGCCTCAATAAAATTCTGAGTCTGTAAGGTGCCACCGGACCCCCTCCTTGTTTTTTTTGCGGAAACAGACTAAAAGGACTACCCCTCTGAACTTGATAAACGTTATAATCTGAGGAGAAAAATTGGTGCCCTGGACGAATCCTTCATTTGATAATGTTGACTGGAGATAAACCAACAATTTCATTGGAAGGAAATGTAAGAATAAGACTAGAGATCTGGATCAACATATTTGCAACCGACTTTCCATCTGGATTTTCAGCCCCGAAACAGAAAGTCTGAAGTGAGCCTTATCTCCCTTTAAATTGAAACCCAGCCATGTCCCATGACATAGAGATGATTGTGACAGGGAGGACGTTTTAAATCTAACAAACGGGTTTGACAAT